ACGCAGCGCCCTTTCTTCATCTCATTGAGAGCCTGGGTATCTGCAATGGTTTTGATTCTCGTTTATGTCCTTTAATATCAACTTCTAAGACGGCTGAAAGGTCTGGGAGAACATGGAGAAGCAAGCGATGTGCAGTGCTGTCGGCGAAAGCCTTATGCGTTCAGTGCAGGAAAGCAAAAAAGAACTTGCAGTGCAGGCAGAAACGACGTTCAAGAAAGAGCAAGTACGTGCCTTTGCCATCTGCGCTGTTGAGAAATTTAAGAAAGAAGACTATAAGAGCAACAGTGCTGCGGGAGAAATACAAGAGGGACCTGCTAAGCTTGAAAAAAAAGTTGTCATCAGATCCAAGCAATGCACTGTTGAGCGAGGTTTTAGCTGAACTTCCACCACTGCAGCAACTTGCATTTCGGACAGCACTGCAGTCGATGAAAGCGAAATCTTCAAGAGGTGTGCGGTATGACTGTGGGTGGCTGCTGAGTTGCCTTCTCTTGAAGATTTCAAGCCCACGTGTGTACCGCTTGATGTCAAGAATGAAAATCCTCCCTCTTCCAACTTCGACTAGGCTCCGACAAATAATAAGAGGAATGCCTTGTGAGTTTGGCTTTAATAAGCTCTCCCTTTCCAGCATAGGGGCTTTCATGAAGACTATGAAAGGAGTCCAGTGTTACGGCACACTAGTAATAGATGAAATGAAGGTACGCCAAGCCGTAGCTTTCAACCGTCAAACATACAAGATTGATGGGTTCGTAAATTACGGAGACGGTGAAGTTTCAGCAGCTACTGCTGATCATGCATTGGTTGCAATGTTTGTGCCTCTATTCCACTCATGGGTTCAACCGATTGCAAGTTTTGCAACAAAAAACGCAGCCCCCGGACACGTGCTCGCCAAAATAGTTCTTGATGCAATCGTGCAGCTACGCAAACACAACGCCATAGTCGTCGCAGTAATCAGTGATGGCGCCAGCACGAACAAAGCAATGTGGTCCAACTTTGGCATATCAGGAAAGCTTCACACAGCAAACCACAAAGTTCAGCACCCATGCGAGCCAAATCAAAGCCTCTACTTCCTTTGCGATGTACCCCACATTGTCAAATGCATTAGAAACCATCTTCTTCGACACAAATATGGCATGGTAAGTACCACGTACAGTACAATATCGCAATAAATAGTGTCGCGGTGCCAATCAAAATACATTTTCTTCGCAGCACTACATACGACTGACGGACTTTTTTTTTCCCTCTCTTCTTCTTGCTCATAGATTGGTGAACATCGCATAAACTATGACCACTACCGAGTTTTGCAAGAAGTAGACGGCAAAGAGCAACTCCGCATTGTTCCGAAGCTTACCGCTGAACACGTCTGCCCTGACAACATGAGAAAAATGAGTGTGAAGCTCGCAGTACAGGTAAGATTACGAAAAGCTGCTTTTGAAAGAACTTATAGCTTACCTGATTATTTAGGCAAATTCTTCACATGTGAAACACAAACTTAACTGGTACTGTGAAGTGTTCTCCTTAAGTCTTTTTGCGATTAATAAAATGCCCCTATACGTTTTCTGTCCCCTAGCTGCTCAGCCGAAGTACGGCTATCGGCCTTGATGTGTACCGGAGACTCAAGCAAGATGGCCTGGAAGACTGCGAGGGGACAGCCGCGTTTACCCGCATCATAAATGACCTTTTTGATGCCCTGAACATCAAGCTTCCTCGTTTTGGGATAAGGAGCACATCCAAGGAAATTAAGGCAAGGGCGATAAAATGTGCTACTTTTGAAGAACATTCGCAATAGGTAATGTTAATCAAGAACTGAGGCACTGGGCATATAAATAAAATACAAAACGCCGACAAACATTTACACCAACAAAAGCCTAGTTTAAGTAGACATTTATTTTGTAATTGAAGGAAGGTATTATTGAAAGAAAGACGACGAATAAATGTCTTGGAACTTAGAACTTCTCCTTCCAGATAACTGAAATAAACGTCGATGAGAAGGCGACACGCCGCAAGCGTGATTTCAAGTATTACCAGCTTCCATTTTCATTCAGTGGCACACATGTTTCATTAAAAAATCAGGTTAAAAATAACTTTATGCCTTTCTTCAAAGGTCCCTTTTTTTATAGGCGTCGACGTTTGCATGTAAGAGCTAGCTTGCACAAAAAAGTAATGTCTAACATAAACTTTTCCCTTTTCTAGATCATCCAAGATTTCATGATTATCTTGGACTTGACAGAGAGAAACCACGTTGAGAAAGGAACAGCCATGTTCGCATCTCAAGTAACAATGGAGTCTCTAAGGGTGACTTTGTCATCTATCTTGGAACTAACAAATGACCTCCTTGCTAAAGGTGCACGCTACGTGCTCACAGGCAAGCTTAATCAAGACCCCTTGGAGGTGAGATTAGCATAATTCCATAAAACTGCGCACTTACTTCATTGCATGGAAAATAAACAAAACGGTTATGAGGAAGCATAGCGTGGTTTTAAACAGTCGTCATATCTCTATGTGAGATGTGCAATTCCCGCCTGAGACTTGCACTCTATAAATCCTCTTTATGCATTCCATACGCCATGCGTACTTTGACTTCTGAAAGAGATACATACGGTGAACTGACGTACGGCTTTATTACTACCATTACAGAGGTTCTTCGGAATCACCAGGAGCTTTGGAGGTGACGAAGACCATCCGACGATCCTGAGCTTTTCCCATATCTACAGGTTGCTGAGCCTGTACACACCTGTCAAGGCTTCGATTGCAGGCAATGTCCAAGAGGAGCCAACCTTAATACTAGCCACAGTGCAAGAGACGATGAAGCAAGGGAAGAAGCAGCAGCTGGCAACGTATGAAAAGTTGCGTGAGACAATCAGCGCAAAGATTTCCGAGGTTTGCTTGCCTGGAATAAGTTCAGCATCCCACTCGGGACCGACACCGCTTCCGGACCACGGATATGCTTTGCCAGCAGTACAGGAGTGCGTCGTATATTACCTCTGCGGCTACATTGTACATTCTTTTCTGAAGCACGTCAACTGCGCTGCTTGCATAAGCAGCATCCAGTCAACAAACACTAAATTCCCCGCTTCACTACTGACATTGGCAAGAGAATTCAGGAACGGAAGCCTCAAGCATCCCTCTACAGAACTTTACACAATGTTGAAACGCGTCGAAGAAAAACTGTCTCTCGTGCTAGGAGAAAACCATCTGTGCGCCGACATGTTTTGGGATGCGCTGGATGTCATCAAAGACTGCGATGTTCCAAGCGTTGGTTGTTCAGTTCATAAGGACATCCTGACATCGGAGATTGTACACTCATACGTTGTTTTGAGAATGCACTTTTTTACGAGAGATGTTTGTAAGAAGCTGAGTGCTTCTGGCAGGGTGTCTTCTACAAAAAAGAAAGCCAAACTTCTCTAGACTACGCACCAATAAACTACGCAGTGATTTAACATAGAAATGTTGCCAAGTAAAAAAAAAAACAGGAACTTGAACAAATGTGTTTGGTGGCTTTTCTTACAGTTATTGCACAGCAACATGCACAGATCTCAGTGAATTAAGGGCTGTAATGAGGACACGGGAACATCGGAACAGCATTAAATAACCTAGCAGGAGTCCCACGTAGAACACAGCCAGCTTACCGGCGACGCATGTCATTGGTTCGAAATTTGGGTATTCGAGTGTCAAACTAAAATGACGCTGTTCTTTTTAATTCGATTGCATTCCTCCCTTCATGAAGAGGTGACGAAGAGATGAAGGAGCTTCTCCAAGCTCCTTAATTCATATCCACTCGATTGGCATTCCGTGTTCCTAGTCATGCACATTCGATACATTTAATTGTCAATCGGAAAAACAATCTTTACACTTAATAAAACTTCTAGGCGCGTAAAACTTTTTTTTCGCCTTTTGATTTTTTTTTTTTTTTTTTTTTTTTTTTTTTTTTTTTTTTAAGCAAGTGATCTTATCTTCTTTCTAACATATATATGTGTGTCGTAGTAGTAATAAATCAGTTGAAAGTCTGCGCTCGTCCTCGTCTCTTGTGTTAGTTGTCTGAAGTTTTACGCGCCTAGAAGTTTTATATGGATTACCAACTAGCCCAATCCCACACTTTACTTAAGTACACTTAATAAAATAGTTGAATTTGCACAATTTAAAAACTGTATCTACTTACAAACGGTATGCATTTAAAAATACAAGCCGACTGTTACGAACCATTCTGTTAAAATTTGTTTGTAACTACGTGTTTCTTCTGCAAAGATTGCTGTGCTGGGAACCAAAAAAAAAAAAGTGAGTTGTCTCGTAAGATATACATCATCGTATTATTCTCCCTGACAAGCCACACAGATAACGCACCGCAGCGTAAATGCAGCGGCATTGTATACAATAAAAACATGCGCAAGTTTTCAGAACTCGCGACTGTTTCATTTAGAACGCTTACTGTCGCTTTCAAATAAGAGCATGCTTTTATAGAAAACGCTCAATGTAAGGACTGCACGAGCAATGCGATCTCAAAAAAATTTTCAGGAAATTTCAGTTTATGCTCTCGGAGGCACCTATTCATTAGGCAAGCACAAGCTCATCACATCGAAACACCTGCGGAATGCAGTCAGCACCATCAGCACGTGGCAAAAAGAACCACTCAGACTTCGTTCAGAGCTCCAAGCTGTGTCCACCTTCATCTATGCAGTGGTTGTAGCAGGAAGCTCTCAATATGCATCCGCTAACAAGATTCCTTGAGATATGAAGTGCTCCAAAAACGCTGCGCCGTCCTTCGGAGACGGGGCGCGGAACAGACGACGAGCAGACGACGCACGAAGCTCGTCACATGACCAGGTCGCAAAGCGATCGCAGCGCCCCCGCGTTTTGGGAGACTGTGAGCGGCCACGCCGCTTCCGTGGCGAGCCCATGCAGTTTCCCAACTGGCTCCATCCAGTAACGTTGGCTGTGATGTCAAGATGCGCGAACACGCCTGGTGGCGGCGTTAGCGACGCGAGTGTGTTTTCCGAATAATGGCAGGGATGCTGGTGGTGTCTTCGTGAGGTGTCTCGACAGTTGGGAGGCACGATGTGGGTACGGTTGAAGTCATCCTGGAACAATAACTTTGTCGTGCTTTTGGCGGTGTTGGACTTTGCCTTATGTGCGGTGCTGGCTGAGAAAGCGGAAGGTGAGCCTATCAACTTCTCATCGCTCGCTCATCTTCGCGCACTGTGGAAAGTTGGGAGCTCCGATGGGCATGATCGTCTGGGCATTTGAAATGTCTGAGTACTTGTCATTGTTACGCATACGCGGGTTGCAACTGTGGTGGCACAGAATAGCTGTGCGAAAAAATAAAATTTTGTTTTGCTTCTGATTTGTAAATAATGCGTTCTTAATGTGTAGCATCAATACAGAGAACGAACGCTCTGTCTTCTCAGCTGCTGACTATTCTGATGAACCCTTATCCACTGGTCGCTTGGAACAGCTACATTTAGTAATCGTTTTAGTATGGTTTTGTTTTTATTGGCGAAACTAAGGTTCTGCGAATTACAAGCTTTACAAGCTTTACAAGCTTAATGGCAATATTGTTGATGAAATGTTTTTCATGGCATTTCAGTAAGAACGTCGACACGTTAACAAGAGAGGTGAAGCGCTCGTTTCACACTCCGTGGAACAAATAAAATAAAATGGAAAATACGTCTGAATCGTTCGTCGTCGCACTATTGCTTTATTGCCTTATTTCACAGAGTGTAATTTCACATCATGACTGATCGGCCGTGTGACGCATGTACTCACATAGAAGTTACATGATAAACTTTGGAATTTCCCGATATATGTACTGCTGCTAGTTGGTGGCTTCGTAGCAGTGTTTTGATTAACGTAAAATCGTAAATCAAAACCGATCAGACAGCCACGCGTGCGCTGCTAGTAACGGCTTCACTTTCCTTTATTCTGCAGCACTTGTGCAAGCTTATCGAGATCCGTGATAAGAATACAATCTGTGGTTTGTGCGCGTTTTGCCAGGGTGCATAATTCGACAAAATTAAGTGTCAACCGCGCCTTACTCCAGTATGCTCACCCCCAACCACCATCACGATGACATGGTGTGTGTCCTGGCCCGAATAACTTTCCCTCGTCTTCTTTGCCAGGACACTGCGCGTGCACAGAACGGTGTAAAAAGGGAAAGCCTATGGCAACTATCATGCACGGGCGTCTGTCATGCGCGGCGGAGTGGTGATGCTCCGGGAGGTGTTCCCTTGTTCTCCGTTCCGTTGCACTTCGCGATGCCCCGTGTCGCGCGGCTCGCTCGCTCAGCTCCTCTCTGGGCCAGCGCGGCCTGCGACGGGAAACGATAAGCGTGCGTGCGCGTTCGACCGTGCCGCGCGGGTAGCGCCCCTGGTCTTCCAGGTGAAGGTGACTCATCATCATCCGGACGGTGGCCACTGCCCCCTCTGACGACTTCGTGGACCAGCCTGGCTGCTGCGCCACGGGGCACTCTTGCTCTCTTTGTTTCGCTTGTGTAGCCATCAAAGGCGCGTATACATATTACATGCGCTCTAACCGAGTCGTGGTAATCTTGCACTGTCGCGGGCACGATTGGAAAATCTATACGCGTGGAAAGTTTAATTGTTCTCCCCTTACGCTTCGAAAGTGCGCTAGTGAAAGGGTAAAAGTATGCGCACTTTCTTCCGACTGGTTTCATGAACTGGATACTTCCAGTTGGCTTGGCGCGATTTGTTGCCTCTTTCGGTAGGCAGAATGACGTCAACAGGAAGACATCAACATTTTTGTGCGCTGGAGGGACATTAGTGTCGGTGACCTCTGTTGAAATCGGTTTCTGAAATATCAGTAATTTAGCGGCGTTCGCTTGCAACTTTTCACATTGAAAACTCGAACTCTATCCCTATATATATATATATATATATATATATATATATATATATAATATATATATATATATATATATATATATATATATATATATATATATAGCCAGAGTTTAAAAGTATGATGACGCGACCAAATGCATGTCGCTGACTGTTGTCTGGAGTGAATTAGACTATTTTTTGTGTTGTGATCAATTGTTTAAATAAACATCTACTTAAGGAACGAAGATGGGTCAAAAATTTCAATTAGAAAGTTGTAGATCGGTTTGCAAAACGTCCGATTAGACAGTTTCGAACTTTATATTTGTTAATTATTAGTGTTTTTTTGCTAACTACAAATGCCCGCGAAATAAAATATATATCACGTGGCAAACACACTAGCGCGCATTCTGGTGCTTCCTAACGTTCCGCGTAAGCCCCGCTGCGGTGGTCTAGTGTCTAAGGTACCCGGCTACTGACCCGGAGGTCGCGGGATCGAATTCCGGCTGCGGCGGCTGCATTTCCGATGGAGGCGGAAATGTTGTAGGCCCGTGTGCTCAGATTTGGGTGCACGTTTAAAGAACCCCAAGTGGTCGAAATTTCCGGAGCCCTCCACTACGACGTCTCTCATAATGATATGGTGGTTTTGGGACGTTAAACCCCACATATCAATTAATCAGTGAATTAGAATTCAATTGCTTGTAAAAGCATGAGTGAAAAAGGGGGCCTCGTGAAATGAGCATTTTAGGGCTCAATCTTGCAACGGCGAGTGCACAGCGGTCGTTCAAGTGACCTCAGCTGGTAACCAAGTAGAAATCTGCACGTGCTCTTTGCTAGCGTGCCGTCATATCGGCGTAAAGTGAGCGCCTCTGTGTACAGGTACAGGTATTCTGTCCCTGCGCAGCTGAATTGCTTACTGTTTGCATGTTTGCGGCTGCAGTGCGGTACCGTATAAATATCGAGCAGCAACCCGAAATATATGCAGCCACTTTTCGACCAAAGCGATATTCTTTTTGTGTGCGAGAACACTCGCACACGATATTCTTTTTGTGCCCGTAACCTCGGTGGGACGCAGATGTGAATAATTAACCTGTTGTGTGCAAAGGACACTTCCGTTTTACGAGAGGTTTACTAATGCGAAAGAACGGTTAATGTACGTACCGCGTAACTTGTTTACTGCATAGTTTCAAAAGGTTTTGCGCAAAAGCAGAAGGGAGTTTTGTTTGTTTGTTTTCCACTATAAATGATTAGGGTGTTTTGGGTGGAGATAAACTTGCAGCAGTCAGGTAAGTTCTTTTTCAGTAGTGTTAATACGTCCACATTACTTAGAAATGAACCTTGGTCCGAATCCGAATTTGTTTCAAAATTTAGTTTTTTATTATTTTTAATATCGCTTCAACCTGATATTCCTCGGTCTAATCCCCTCTCGGTTTTAATTAGATTAGGCATTGCCCTCAGCGCGCAACATTACAAAAGAGAGAAGCAACTCTATTGAAGTTTTGTTCACAGAGGATTGGTGGTGAGGCCGTGCTAGGGCCCGGAGTTGTATCGGGTTGCGGAGTATGAACATCTTCCCGTGCCTTGGGCGAGGGCGGAGTTCCGGTCAGGAGATCGAGTGGGTGTGGATCCTCGCTGCGACATATGTCGTTTGTGCAGACTCCATTGCGGGCTTGGTTCCTCAGTTCAGGACGCCTGCGGCCTTTGCCGTCCGGTCGGACGTGTATAGCTGATCATTCGCATTTTAACGGGCCACCCCCACTGCTTCGGTTGTAGGGTTTGGTGTGATTGGTTCCAGCTTCCGTGCTTCGTTGACACTATAATGTAGTGTGATATAGCGTGGGGTTGTCATCGCACCACGGGCATGTGGCTCTGTAACGCGGTGGTGTGATACGTGAAGTTTGGACGCGAGTTTCTTTTTTTTTTTTTTGTAGTGAGCCTATGACACTGGCTGTATCTTGATTGTCTTCAGGAGTGTACCCATCTGGCTGCCCTTGTCATCGTCTAGCAGGGACGTATTCTGGTTCACTAATCGAGCATTGTTCTTCGTTGCGTGGCTTGCATGAAGCGCGATTCGTTGCTCGCAGATCACGCTCGCCTGTGCACTGAATGACCACTCCTGTATCTGCAGTCGTGGTCATTCCTCTCAACGGACCAAAAATAGAAACATTCTAGAGCCTTACCTACATTACTGTCAGAACAGCATTAAAGAAGAAAACAGTGCTCGTCTACATTGAAGCCACTCTCGATTGGGTTGTGCGCGTTTTTTTTTTTTTTTTTTTTTGAGCAAGTTGAGTGATTGCGTTATGATAGAATCTGCCTGCCCTGTATTTGAAGCTGTTCGACTAGTAAAGTTTATTATCCAACTCCCTCCGTCTCTGTTTCTCGCCGCAAACTTCCGAGCACAAAATTAAAGTGTACGTATTTCGGGCGGCAAATTAGCGTAGCTGGGCCGACGCAACGCGGGAGGTAAGGGATAATGTGCTAAAGACGTGCTTCAGAAAGCCACAGCAATGATGCAGTGAAAGCTTTGTTCCTCGGCGGTCACATGCGGACCTTTCAGACATGCCAGCCTAGCTTTGTAGCTGTCAGTTCGCATAGTAACTGTCGTATATCCTCAGCAGATGGATCGAACCAGCTGGTGAGCAACGGTTCCGCACGACATTCCTACGCGGTAAAAACTTGTAAACCTAGAGGAATCGTAGACAATTAAACCTCAAAGAAGCGTGGGAAGTTTACATACTATATAGCTTCGTATACGTGCATACCTGCGAACTCTCCCGAATGGGCCCTCTTCAAATTTGTAAAGTTACCTTTCCTGCTTTGAACAACTAATGGCGGCTAGTCACTTACCGCAAATAGCGTGTTCAAGCGTGGTTTGCTTATACGCAGTGACGTGTAAATTGTTAGAGTCGACTCTCGTGATACAAACACTCATAACAGTCACGTTCAACTATCACCCTATCACGTTCAACTGTAGGGCCGCGTGTTGGCTTGAAAAACGATAGGTGCACGCCATTCCGTAGGCAAATATGCTGCGCAGAGAAGCGAACTTGAGAATTACGAAAATGATTCATTACTCGAATTGTGACCTAATCTCACGATTGTACGAATACAATCTCGAATCTCCCGAAAAGTGGCCGCTATAGCAGAGACTTCTTTTTTTTTTTTTTTTTTGCGCACGTCAGCCTTTCCTGGTACGACAGTTGTGCGATGCTGTGGAACACTCGCCATTAACTTCTATTTCACTGTTACCATACCGTAGAGTATATCGCTAAGTATGTAGGCTGCACCTGGGCGAAGACCGGTGGCCGCGGGGCGCGCT